TATAAATGCTTACTGAATCCTGGCTCAGTATATTAACACACGAGTGTGTAATGAAGGAAATATGCAGTGATGGCACAGCATTTTAACAGTGCTTAAAGGGAGTTACTTTTAGCTAACCTTTGTGTATTTAGTTGCCAATGGAATTTAATGTACATCAAAGAACATTTGAAGTAACATATGTTAATATACATATATTTGTAGACTTTATGTGTAATTCATTGAAATTATTGTTCATGTATTTTTAAGAACGCATTCTTCTGCTTCTGATGTGAATGAAGTATGAATGAAAAGTGTATGCTTGCATTTTGCTTGTATGCACTCTTATTTTGCTTGAAACAGCTGCCTGTACTTTAGCGGTGTAGTGAACATGTAATGGGCCCAGGAATATGTATACAGTTACTACTATATAAGCAGGATTTTGCCATACTATTTCAGTATATTAGTGCTGCATATGCATAATAAATGTAGTTACATGTATACTATGGAAGCCTTACATATATTAAACCTTAAAAATATACAAAATAAACTTATTACTAATCTACACTTACACAACTACATCATGGATATAATATATTTTATCACTAATTTAATGCCAATGATACATTTTGCCCAAACTGTGTGTTAATTATAGAATTATCATAATTATAGAACTATTATACTTATATAATTATTATAATTGAAGGTCAAATTAATTATAATTATAGAACTATATATTTTGGCAAGATCTGGGAGGTAAGTTTGCGCTAACACTAACTTACACTATGATAAATATTAAAATAAAAATACCTGTTTGCCAATAAAGAAATACAACAATGTAAATTATTGTTCAATATTACTGAGAACCAACTTGTAAACAAAGAAGGGGGCGGGGGTAGTGAGGTGAGGATGGCAGGGGACACGAAGACTTGTCAGGTTAGGATGAGAGATGGATGGGACTTGTCAGGTTAGGATGACAGGTGGATGGGACTTGTCAGGTTAGGATGAGAGGTGGATGGGTCTTGTCAGGTTAGGATGAGAGATGGATGGGACTTGTCAGGTTTGGATGAGAGGTGGATGGGACTTGTCAGGTTAGGATGAGAGGTGGATGGGACTTGTCAGGTTAGGATGAGAGGTGGATGGGACTTGTCAGGTTAGGATGAGAGGTGGATGGGACTTGTCAGGTTAGGATGAGAGGTGGATGAGACTCGTCAGGTGGGAATGGCAGGTGGAGGCGGGGCTAGAAGCGGTTACGCAGCATAATAAACACATCACCTGTGTATTTTGAGAATAATTGGATGTGAATGTAAACAGGCATTAAAGTGACGGTCTTGTATTTTAGCCTTCCGGAAGCTGAATCTATTTTACAAATGGACGTGAAGTTTGAGCAACAGTGTTTCACAGATCATTCATAATGATTATAGTCACTTAACTAGCGTGATTTCTTAGCTGGGTAAATTAAATTTTCCATGTTTTCCATTTTCCGGTAGCACTAAGTTGTGGACACGAGTTTTTTTTTTACTTTATACAAGCATGTAGAGGATCAGTGACGTCTGACTCCTGTTAGCAAGCCGGGAGCGTTACTCCATTATTTACCCCTGGAACACAACCCGCCACTCGGTTAACAACCAGGTAACTAATCACTGGTGGGTGAACAGTTAAGGATTGGCGCCCAGTCAAACTTCCCTGGCCAGGACTGGAACCCAGATCAAATTGCTTGCAAGGCGCGGGGAAAGTGTGTTACTGCTACCACAGGCGACTCTCATTAAATCCAATATTTTAATGCCCGTTACATAAGTTTATTCCTCCTTCCCTTCATAGGCTAGTGCCCCCTTCCCTCCTCCTCATAGACCAGCCTCGCTTCATACACCAGCCTTCCATCATGGCCCAGCCTCCTCTCAGACCAGCCTCCTCTCAGACCAGCCTCGCTTCATAGACCAGCCTTCCATCATGGCCCAGCCTCCTCTCAGACCAGCCTCGCTTCATAGACCAGCCTCCCTTCATAGACCAGCCTCCCTTCATAGCTCCAAGTTCATAAATCCACCCACCTGCCCCTCATCCATCTCTATATCCCGTCATCCGTTTCTCATTCTCTTCATCTCTTCCTTCTATCCAGACAATGCTGTTGATCCAAGCGTAAAGCTTTCATGTTGATTGCTGACTGTTTTGGCAGAGGTGCCTTTAAAGATAGGATGTATCATTTACAGACTATTTGTGTTGAGCGCTGGTGGCATACACATGTTGAGCGCTGGTGCCATACACATGTTGAGCGCTGGTGCCATACACACGATATGTTGAGCGCTGGTGCCATACACAAGTTATGTTGAGCGCTGATGCCATACACACGTTATGTTGAGCGCTGGTGCCATACACATGCTATGTTGAGCGCTGGTGCCATACAAATGCTATGTTGAGCGCTGGTGCCATACACAAGTTATGTTGAGCGCTGATGCCATACACATGTTGAGCACTGGTGCAATACACCCGTATGTTGAGCGCTGGTGCCATACACACGTTATGTTGAGCGCTGGTGCCATACACAAGTTATGTTGAGCGCTGATGCCATACACATGTTGAGCACTGGTGCAATACACCCGTATGTTGAGCGCTGGAGCCATACACACGTTATGTTGAGCGCTGGTGCCATACACAAGATATGTTGAGCGTTGGTGCCATACACATGTTGAGCACTGGTGCAATACACACGTATGTTGAGCGCTGGTGCCATACACAAGATATGTTGAGCGCTGGTGCCATACACACGTTATGTTGAGCGCTGGTGCCATACACAAGTTATGTTGAGCGCTGGTGCCATACACATGTTGAGCACTGGTGCAATACACACGTATGTTGAGCGCTGGTGCCATACACATGTTGAGCGCTGTTGCCATTGAAGATTGGTGCCTTATACATTAGTCTTTTGGAACAAATGATGAATGTGCTTTTGTGGTCGGTAGTCGTTTGGACGAGCATAGGCTGCGGATGTTTAGATAAATGTACGCATTCATATATCCTATTAATTATAACATCACTTTGCTGGATAAATTGACAACAATGACAATATTAATCTAATGAATATCTGAATGTAGGATTGCACTACTTTTTCAATTTACAGATTAAACACTACATAATTTTGTCAATCTGGTTTTAAAATATTATAATTAACATTTTAATTCAGGTTACTTAAGTGTTAATTGTATATATATATACAATATATATATTGTATATATAATTGTTAATATACATGACAAATTTAATATTGCAGTGTTACATTGAGTGCGTCCTGTAATCTCCTGGGTGCTGTGTTACAAGAACGAGTAGTACGCCCTGCAAGCAACTTTGTGTTACAATAAGTACTGCGTTCTGTGGATAGTCACCTAGACACCAGGCCTCGCGGGAAGGAGGAATGCGCCCTGCAGATAGACTCTTGAATGGCTCCACGGTAACCACAGCATCTCCTCTTAAGTGATTTTGTATCGATGAGGAAACGTTAATTTATTCCAGGCCACGGTCGGCACATAGAGCAGCAGAGGCTGGCTCTCTCACTTCGTGTGCTTGGATCACGCGTCCGAGAGGCTGTCTTCTATACTACATCTCATTTTTCCAAAACAGCCTTTGACATCTCCATACCATAAGCACTGCAAGAGTGTACAAACTACACCACGGCTCAATTCATCAACATTAACTTGGTCTCTTGGAGAAATACTTCATACATCTTATGTAATAATGGATGTTTAGACAAACTCTTTCATGTGGATGACCAACCGAATGCACATTCACTCACTGTTTAAGTTTAACAGGTTTATGTGTTGCTGTAGTACAGTAACTTATACCATCTGCTGCTGGTGTAGTACAGTAACTTATACCATCTGCTGCTGGTGTAGTACAGTAACTTATACCATCTGCTGCTGGTGTAGTACAGTAACTTATACCATCTGCTGCTGGTGTAGTACAGTAACTTATACCATCTGCTGCTGGTGTAGTACAGTAACTTATACCATCTGCTGCTGGTGTAGTACAGTAACTTATACCATCTGCTGCTGGTGTAGTACAGTAACTTATACCATCTGCTGCTGGTGTAGTACAATAACTTATACCATCTGCTGCTGGTGTAGTACAGTAACTTATACCATCTGTTGCTGGTGTAGTACAGTAACTTATACCATCTGTTGCTGGTGTAGTACAGTAACTTATACCATCTGCTGCTGGTGTAGTACAGTAACTTATACCATCTGCTGCTGGTGTAGTACAGTAACTTATACCATCTGCTGCTGGTGTAGTACAGTAACTTATACCATCTGTTGCTGTAGTGAGGGTATGGTTATTTTATGTCTTTCAACCGAAAACCAACAGACACCTAACTCGTACGTAACACTTCCTCCAACAGTTATTTACACAGAAATGGCGAGAATAGCATCTGATTCTAAATGTTGTCTTAATTCAAAACATGAGGGTTGATATCACTCTCCGTGTATCTTATGTTAATAAACATGAGGGTTGATATCACTCTCCGTGTATCTTATGTTAATAAACATGAGGGTTGATATCACTCTCCGTGTACCTGATGTTAATAAACATGAGGGTTGATATCACTCTCCGTGTACCTGATGTTAATAAACATGAGGGTTGATATCACTCTCCGTGTATCTGATGTTAATAAACATGAGGGTTGATATCACTCTCCGTGTATCTTATGATAATAAACATGAGGGTTGATATCTTATGGTAATAAACCAAAAACAAGAGCAGCCATTGCTTATCATCCTCCCAAAATATACCAAGACACAAAGGTGGGTATCGTACCTCAACCATCTCCCATATTAAACCATAACTATGGTAGGGTATCGCACCACCTACCTCCCAGAATAGGCCAAAATATGAGTGTGGGTATTGTGACTCTTTCTACCCATCATAATGGATGCATACATTGAGTAAAATTGTTTACAACTAAACCAAACCAAATGTATCTTGCTACCAATTATTCTACTACAATAGAGCTGAAAAAGAGAGTGTGTGCACCGTACCTCCGTTGACCAGGTCCCCGTCCTGCAGCTGGATGGCCACCCCGAAGCCTCCAAGCTTGACGGGGGCGCTATTTTCCTTACAGGCGAGCAGGACACAGTGCGGCTTGATGTCTCTATGGATAATGTCGTTCTCGTGACAGTACAGCAACGCCTCCAGTATCTGACGCATGTAGTGACTGAGGAAAGCAAAACATTATCGTCAAAAAGAATAAAGTTTCATGGACGCATTTTAATTTCGAGATATATGGGCTAATTTCTCTTAGTACAACAGTTGGAGCAGCATTCATATATGATGATAGAAGTTGTATATGTGGTAGCATAGGGATGTTATTGGGTTGTAACAATGTTTTCATTGCCGGTTGAAGAAAGGAATATATGACATTTTGCAATAAAAGTAAACAGTAATTTCAGAGTAGATTGTTGAAAATGGACTAGGAATAAGAGTGCTCATTCCGAGCAATGAACGAAGAGCACAAAATAAGCTTATAGAAGCATAATTCTATAGCACTATCTCCCCCCCCCCCTTCCCTCCCCCCCTACACACACCAAAAATGTCACCTTGTGTGCAGACAGCTATCTGCATTTATTTTTACGCTTAGGTAAAAAAAAAAATGAGAATTAATATAAGGAATATTTAGTCAAGAAGTTATATGTTGACAAATTAAGAAGATTGCCTCCTAGCATCAGCACATGTAAATAAATGATACATAAACATTCACTTCAGTTAGTCCAGGCACAATACAGGCTAAACTGAACTTAATAACTTAATCTCTCTCTCTCTCTCTCTCTCTCTCTCTCTCTCTCTCTTAAATTATACTTAAGATGCACTGCAGCATAATCTGGTTGCAAAAACCTTTGGAAGACAAATAAACCACCAGCGCTAATCCATCACAATACACACATGAACCTACTGGGGCAAATTGGAATCAAGAGCTTTAATCCTTTATTTATGACTATCAAATTGCAATCTGCACTCCAGTCTACATTTTCTATTACGGCCTCACTTTTTTGCGCGTGGCTTATGGCCGCATATCCATGCACAAATATCCTTGACAAATAAACAGATTAATTGTCTAAATATTTAAACCTACAAAAGTCTAAGATGTCCAGCAATCTTTTTTCCAGGGTCGTAGCCCTACAAACTGTCCTTCCACCTGGGTTAGTGTCCCCGTGGGCTGTCCTTCCACCTGGGTTAGTGTCCCCGTGAGCTGTCCTTCCACCTGGGTTAGTGTCCCCGTGAGCTGTCCTTCCACCTGGGTTAGTGTCCCCGTGAGCTGTCCTTCCACCTGGGTTAGTGTCCCCATGGGCTGTCCTTCCACCTGGGTTAGTGTCCCCATGGGCTGTCCTTCCACCTGGGTTAGTGTCCCCATGGGCTGTCCTTCCACCTGGGTTAGTGTCCCCATGGGCTGTCCTTCCACCTGGGTCAGTGTCCCCGTGGGCTGTCCTTCCACCTGGGTTAGTGTCCCCGTGGGCTGTCCTTCCACCTGGGTTAGTGTCCCCGTGGGCTGTCCTTCCACCTGGGTTAGTGTCCCCATGGGCTGTCCTTCCACCTGGGTTAGTGTCCCCATGGGCTGTCCTTCCACCTGGGTTAGTGTCCCCATGGGCTGTCCTTCCACCTGGGTTAGTGTCCCCGTGGGCTGTCCTTCCACCTGGGTTAGTGTCCCCATGGGCTGTCCTTCCACCTGGGCCAGTGTCCCTGTGGGCTGTCCTTCCACCTGGGTCAGTGTCCCTGTGGGCTGTCCTTCCACCTGGGTTAGTGTCCCCGTGGGCTGTCCTTCCACCTGGGTTAGTGTCCCCATGGGCTGTCCTTCCACCTGGGTTAGTGTCCCCATGGGCTGTCCTTCCACCTGGGTCAGTGTCCCCATGGGCTGTCCTTCCACCTGGGTCAGTGTCCCCATGGGCTGTCCTTCCACCTGGGTCAGTGTCCCTGTGGGCTGTCCTTCCACCTGGGTTAGTGTCCCCATGGGCTGTCCTTCCACCTGGGTCAGTGTCCCTGTGGGCTGTCCTTCCACCTGGGTTAGTGTCCCCATGGGCTGTCCTTCCACCTGGGTCAGTGTCCCCATGGGCTGTCCTTCCACCTGGGTCAGTGTCCCTGTGGGCTGTCCTTCCACCTGGGTTAGTGTCCCCGTGGGCTGTCCTTCCACCTGGGTTAGTGTCCTCGTGGGCTGTCCTTCCACCTGGGTTAGTGTCCCCATGGGCTGTCCTTCCACCTGGGTCAGTGTCCCCATGGGCTGTCCTTCCACCTGGGTTAGTGTCCCCATGGGCTGTCCTTCCACCTGGGTTAGTGTCCCCATGGGCTGTCCTTCCACCTGGGTTAGTGTCCCCATGGGCTGTCCTTCCACCTGGGTTAGTGTCCCCATGGGCTGTCCTTCCACCTGGGTTAGTGTCCCCATGGGCTTTAACATAGATAACAAAGCAGCCAGTGGTCACATGTGGCGTTTGCGATGGGCGAGTCCAATTGACGTATAATATGCACCAGCTGAACTTACAATCCCTCCTCTACAACCACGAAGATCATTTTTTAACTATCGTACTACTTATTGCTATCGAAAGATATTATTAGTTTTAGTTACTAATTAGATGGAAAGCAGGCTAATACAGCAGCCGTGAATGATAACACCAACCAATGTATAATAAGTAGCCTGATGCCAACCATGGATAGTAAGTTGCCTGATGCCAACCATGGATAGTAAGTAGCCTGATGCCAACCATGGATAGAAAGTTGCCTGATGCCAACCATGGATAGTAAGTAGCCTGATGCCAACCAATGTATAATAAGTAGCCTGATGCCAACCATGGATAGTAAGTAGCCTGATGCCAACCATGGATAGTAAGTTGCCTGATGCCAACCATGGATAGTAAGCATCATGACGCCAACCATGGATAGTAAACATCATGACGCCAACCATGGATAGTAAACATCATGACGCCAACCATGGATAGTAAGCATCATGACGCCAACCATGGATAGTAAACATCATGACGCCAACCATGGATAGTAAACATCATGATGCCAACCATGGATAGTAAACATCATGACGCCAACCATGCACTGTAAACAGCTTGACACTAACCAAGGATGCTTATAAGGTCTAACAAATGATATCTAAATATATTATACTGCCTTGGTGTGGACCATGAATTAGCTTCTTATATGTTCTTTGGATAGTGGCTCTTACATGTTCTTTAAACAAGAACCCCCACTTCTTAGGGTGTGTTCCCGGCAAGGCATATTGCTGGCCGGGTATCCGGTTAACATGGAGAACAAAAACCCTCTTTACCAATATTCCCGTAAGGCTTCTATATCGGCGGTGTTTTCTCGTGCCTGGTGGATACCTGGTGGATACCTGGTGGATACCTGGCTGCAGTTTTCAATCATCTGATGAGCGCATCTCTCCGGACTTTAAAATATATCATTTGAATGTTTTATTGTACTTATTTTCGACCCTTCTGATAGCGAGAACTTTCTGGGATTTTGTGTTCTCTATATGACTTTATCTCATTTATATTCAATCATATTATAAAACTTGAGATTACTAGTATATTATTTCACTGAACAATTTACACTAGTTTCCAATTGTCATCGAACATAAACACTGAAATTGGACTAATATTTGAGACCTCGGTCCAGAATGACAGTTGTCATATCATGTATGTTATAACTGGGTTTAACGTGTAACAATTCTCAATATAATCATTAGAGATGAACAAGGAAAATTTTAACTTGTGAAGTAGAAATCTGAAGACCTTGAGAAAGTGAAGAGATACTTTGAAAATGAGAAGGATGAAAGTAACGATAAAATTATGATGAATTTTAATAGTTTGAGAAGAGAGTGAGAATTGCAGTTACTCAAATTTATTTCCATAGTAAATAAAAGTACACCAAAAGATGAAATATAGGAAAGCTGCATGTATTGCTGAGGTATATTTATAAATTATTAAATACAGCAGAAAATTTTATGCAGTAGGTGTGTCATATATGCCTAAATCATGTGAAAGTGGTACTAAGTCAGATAGTGGCAGATAATTAATAAAAAAAGGAGCTAAAATCTGGCTTTTACATCAAGACAGCCTACTAGATGTAGTGACCATTATGTACGTAACAAAAAAGATCTTAAAATTTAACTGACACCCATTTTCTTTTGCATCGCAAAGCAGATCTTTTTCAATAGTCGGTAGTCTTTAAGCAAACTAAACATTGCTCCTCGTCAATATTCACAATATTTGAACAAAAACTGCACACAAAAGAGTATTTTTGATGCCGGTGAATCGTAAAATTCTCACGAATTTCATCTCTGAGAAACAGATGTTTAACATGGGGTAGGAACACAAGGCCTGAATCAATGCTGGATTATACACCCCGGCTGACAGACACCCAAGCGTCCCTCCCAACACTGCCTCCACCCATGCCAACCTCACCCGTCACGAACACACGCATCTTCCAACCTTTATGGCGGCAGGATATCGATGGATCATCACACGTTACTGTTCTTGCGAAGGTATTAGCGCATGTTTGCTTTTATTCACAAGTTTTTTATAGTGAGAGCAAGGAAAGTTCTCAGGTCACAAGTGAGAGAAAACAATATATAAGAGAGAGAATTTGTCTGACAGTCTTCTCTGCCACGGTTGGAGGCCAGGCACTTCGGGCTGGCCTCACCAAACACATGAAGCATGTGGGGTAGCGAAGTGTCACAGGCCAGTTGAGGTCGGCCCAAGTGAATTGCTTCAAGAAATATTGGCATTCAGAGCCCCCCCATGTTATTTTCAAGGGGTCAAGTCTGAAATATTGCTTCTTTCCTAAGAGCTGTTTCAGTGTCATAATAATAATTTTTCGGAAATTGGGAGGCAGATGGGGAAGGGGGGGGGAATATGGAGACGGGAGAGAGGGAAGGGAGGCCCAGCAAACAGCTGTGATCCTGGGTAACTTACCTGGCCACCGCTTCGCTGTAGACGAAGCCAGACATCGCCCGCTTCACAATCTCGAAGCACAGGTCGGCTCCATCCATGCTGCGGGGGGAGAGTAGCATTATCACCTGGAACAATCTTACTGAAGCATGTGGGTTCATATGAAGAAAGATGATGGGTAGGTACATGAGGTAGATGGCAGAAATGACTGACTATTAAAATGTCACGTAAGAGAGAGAAGATAAAGACAAAGAGTAAGTGTTTGAAAAGGTTAGATACAAAGGAAATATAAATTATAAAAGAGAAAATGAGGAAATGGAAGACTCGAAGGCAAATGCGGTGGGAAAAAATGAGAATGTAAAAATAAGGGAAGAAAAATTGAGGGCCGAGGGAGGGAGGGATGTAGGGTGGAAGGAGGGGAGGAAACGAAAAACTTGACGCCAACAATCAATAACTGAGATTTATGGCAGTGGAGAGAGACCACTGCTGAGTTTTCTGTTCCGGAAGGTAAGAGACTTGCGAGGTGGAGAGGAGATATATGAGACACGGAAAGAGCCTGACAAAATGAAGAGAGAGAGAGAGAGAGAGAGAGAGAGAGAGAGAGAGAGAGAGAGAGAGAGAGAGAGAGAGAGAGAGAGAGAGAGAGAGAGAGAGAGAGAGAGAGAGAGAGAGAGAGAGAGAGAGAGAGAGAGAGAGAGAGGGAGAGAGAGAGAGCATGCAGACGTAATCTCCACAAACACATTCCACTAAGACCCAGACTTTCAAAATGGTTTTAAACATGAGAGGTCCACTGTAATCCTGCAAATGTACAATAAAAGGAATACGAGATAAGACACCATGCATTAAAACAAATCTAAATCTGTGCGTTAGATATATCTAGTAGCCATGATTGGCAGGAATCAAGAAAGAATCCATACGGCATAATTCTTGTAGTAGTAGTAGTTGCATCCACTGTATAATTACCCCCAATGGAAATACTGTTACCTAATTTAATTCAAAATAACACTAAGTCGCCAAAACGCTTTACAAATGACAAATATGTGATATCAGACAATCCAAACTACATTAAGCAAATTACACACGCTACACTGAAGAAGCTGCTACCGTAACGAAGGCTCTGATCCTTGTAAATATACATAGTGGCTTATTCACACATAATGCTTAATTGAAACACGGCGAGTGAATAGCGCAGTCCTGCCACCCAAGAACCCTCTCCTGAGATGCATGCAGAGCGCCCTTCTCTGGCTGAAGGCCCTTAAGGGAATAATTTAAACCTCTAGACTCCATGAAGCTCTGAGAGGCAGCTGGCAACAAGCGGAATTACGTGGGTGCTGGTAGGCGGGAGGGAGGAAGGGGAATGAATGAGAGAGAGAGAGAGAGAGAGAGAGAGAGAGAGAGAGAGAGAGAGAGAGAGAGAGAGAGAGAGAGAGAGAGAGAGAGAGAGAGAGAGAGAGAGAGAGGCGGTTACTAGCAGAAGTTAGATGAAAATGGGGAAAAGGCATCATTAGGGAGGTAAACAATAAAATGCATTTTTTTTAGTTCATTCATTTCCTGAATGAACTTAAAAATATATATTTCTGCACATGTGTTTTTGTGGTACTAGTAAACATCAGAGCATCCTTCATGAGGTAAATAGTGAAGGATTCCGAACACTGGTCGTTTGGTCCTAGAACATGCCGCCCCGGCACGAAGTCTCCTTCCCATAAAACACAAAAGGAAACTTAATACGGTGCATAAATTAGTAACAAGGCTCGTCCCAGAACTTCTTGTAATGTGGCACGAATATATGCTGAAGACGTTGGACATAACTACACCAGAAAAGAGAAGAGAGAGAGAAGATATGATAGACATAAAACATAAGAATGTTTTAGGTTGACAACGATAAAATGTTTTCATGAAATGCCTACAAACGAGAGAGCATGAACGGAAGTTAGACAAAGATAAAACATGAAAATACTTTTTAACGAAAAAATAGGAGAATGGATACGAAGTAGTGAGGTTCAACCATGTACAAAATATTATAGGCGACATGTAGGCAGGGAACAACAGCATTAAGCGGCAGGAAAGGCGAAGTACCAAAAGCTAAAGCTCGATCCTGCAGGAAAAATAGGTGAGTACGCACACAAGGGGTAACTACCTATAAATGTTTGACCTGTACAGAGGGGCAAGAGGCTGGCTGTGAATCAACCGGGCTGTGGTGGATATGTGGGCCTGCGGGCCGCTCCAAGCAACAGCCTGGTGGACCAAACTCTCACAAGTCAAGCCTGGCCTCGGGGCCGGGCTTGGGGAGTAGAAGAACTCCCAGAACCCCATCAACCAGGTATATGTGGGCCTGCGGGCCGCTCCAAGCAACAGCCTGGTGGACCAAACTCTCACAAGTCAAGCCTGGCCTCGGGGCCGGGCTTGGGGAGTAGAAGAACTCCCAGAACCCCATCAACCAGGTATCAACCAAGGGGATGTTCCAACTTTGAACAACAGTCCATCAAAACAACGGACATAGCGGTCACGGTGGTAACAGCAACTATCAGAGGCAGTTTACACCATTCCACCTGGACTCTGCCATTACCGTAAAGTTCATGAAATTTTACCTGCCATTCAAATGAGGTCTCAACACCAGCCAAGTCTGTTTTTCATACGAAAGAAAATTGACATTTATGAATGATGTTAAATTGATTTGAAATGAAAATGACAAAGAGAAGAAAATGCCTGGCAGTAATGTCACCCAGTCTACCCATCCTCCTAAAATGATAGGAGGACCTGCATGGTCTTTGTACTTAAAGCAACTGAATGGTCCAACGAACAAAAATTCGACTGTTGAAGCTATATGTGCTAAACTAGGCCTAGTTTAGCATATATTTACTTTATTAGGCCTTATATAGCGTATATTAGGCCTATGATTGCTTGGACAAGTTAGGTTATGCTCTATATTTACTCATTTTGCTAAATGTATATATTAAACACCTGGTTATATTAGTATTTCGCTATTTTGGCAGACGCTGTTTTAAAGGTGCAAATGACTGAACGTCTTGAGTCCTTAACACTCCTCACTTTCATTTTACTTCGCTAGTACGCTAAATAATAACAGAGTTGTGGAGGCTGTCATGGCATTCAAAGGAGATTCGAACCAGTGCTGTTCTGAGCTATCACAACAAATCCACATTATTCTATAACCCATATTATAATGAAGGATGCAGATAAACTAATTTCGTGCTATTTCATTACTGATCCCAAAATGAGCAACACCAACGCCACGTGTTGCTACGAGTCGCCACCATTACTTTGCATAACATTGTAATTATGTTGCAAGCTTTGCATGCCTAGGCTATAAGTTATGCATATACTTGTTTTCTAATTATCCTATCTAGATGAAACTTTACATGTGCATGTCTTCAAGGTTCCTTGCAATAAGAATATCACATTGCTTGTATAAAGAATATTGGCTAATACTATGAGCTTTAAGTAACTATAAATATGAATTAATATCTCTCCGAGGAAGATCGCTCATAATAATCATAAGAACGCGCAAATTGCAGCATCTTTTCCTAGAGCAGCGTGCAAACGTCAACGTTTGCTTGACACTTGTAGAGTCCTCCGCACGACAACTTCTGCTTCTAGCAAGCACAGCATATTAGACACATACTAATAATTAATGGAGGATGGAAACGACGGAAGGGCAAGGAGGGAGGGATGGCAAGGACGAAATGATATGAGGGAGGGACGCAATTTCAGGAAAGAATGTACGGAAGGGAAAGGGACAGGAGGCCAGGAGGTTAGTGACCGTAAAGTCAATGGTAATCATTTATTATCAACGCAGTGTTGGCAGTGTTATGGAGGTTATTGACGCTCAAAGATGGAACAGAGAGGACCTGGAAGTAATTGTAATATAAAAGAGTCAAGCCAATATGGCTGTACATCACTGCCTGCCGCAGAATACTGCATTGTTTATTTATACTATATTATATGGTCTACTGGATTGTTTATACTATAATATGCGGCCTAGTGGATAGTTTATACTATAGAATGCGGTATACTGAAATGTATATATTTTAGTATGCAGGCTACAGGAATGTATATACTTTATTGTGGTCAACTGGAATGTTCATACTATAGTATACGGGAATGTTCATACTTAGTATCCTAAGGTTCCGGGTTCGATCCCCGGTGGAGACGGAAACAAATAGACAGAATTTCTTTCACCCTGATGCCCCTGTTCAGTTAACAATAAACAGATACCTGGGAGTTAGGCAGCTGCTACGGGCTGCTTCCTGGAGATATGTAACAAAAAAGAGACCTGGTCGAGGACCGGGCAGCGGGGACGCTAATCCGAGAAATCATCTCAAGATAACCTCACTACTAACAAATTTTAAGATTAATTCCAATCTTGGAAAGAATATAGGAATTTGTTCATAATTAGGCGAAGTAATTATCCAGCTCAGGTTGGGAGATACTTGGTTGATACCTGGTTGACGGGGTTCTGGGAGTTCTTCTACTCCCCAAGCCCGGCCCGAGGCCAGGCTGGACTTGTGAGAGTTTGGTCCACCAGGCTGTTGCTTGGAGCGGCCCGCAGGCCCACGTACCCACCACAGCCCGGCTGATCCGGAACTTCTCTTAGAAAACCGTCCAGTTTTCTCTTGAAGATGTCCACGGTTGTTCCGGGAGCTCATCACGTGGCAAATAAACTATGAAAATAAGACAATGGGGAGTCCAAATAAACTATGAAAATAAGACAATGGGGAGTCCAAATAAACTATGAAAATAAGACAATGGGGAGTCCAAATAAACTATGAAAATAAGACAATGGGGAGTCCAAATACACGAAGCCCCGCTGATTAGGAAGCCAAGATTTAGCAGGTGAGGAACATGACTCATTTATTTCTTCTCAGTTGGTGGGTGTTAATACCTTCACGCATTTAATAGTATGTCTGTAAATTCTTTTCAAAATGTTGGACTTGACTAGTGTTGAGGATCAGATTCTTTTTAACAATTTGGAGCACATTAACAACAAGGAGTTAATATTACTTAAACTCATGTGTTAGATATTGTGCAAGGAAGCTAACGAAGTTGCTTTACTAACCTTAGCCTATAAAAAGAGGTAAATAACCACAAAGTGGTTATATAAATATAATAAGTGGATCTTGGCAGCACACCTCTCTTGAACTGACACGCTAATTTTACGCCATACAATGATAATTTCTCTGGGCGTGAATTAACACACATAATTTATTCTCCCAAATTTATGTTATGTTAATAACAAACGTACATGTAAGAACCTTTGTATATATAAATAAATATAAATAAATGAATAACGTTTTTAGACGCAAGTTAACTAAGCAAAAATCATAATAATATTATAATTCATTTGATATTTTCCTTTACGTTTGAAGTCGTTATTATTCGTCTAGACTTACTGCCATTTCAGTTAATACCATCAGGATGGTAATATAATTTGTTACCACATATCCGTTCGCTCCCCAAATATGCTAAATAATATTAAACTAGCTGAAAAATATATATTTTAAGTTATAAATGTTCTCCTGACTCATGAGACATTAATATTTCACAACAAAATACCCAGTTTTGTGAGCCTTTGCGTAGGTTTAATTATCCCAACTGACCTCATGAACTATGTTAATGGTAGTATTTACAGAGTTTACATCTCTAGAGTAGTAACAGCGACAGTATAGTGTCAACGCTAGTGTAGATTGGTTGCAATAACCAAACAACGTCACTACTACTCAATACAAACACAAGTTAGATAACCGTTACAAGAGCTTTCACAAACCACCCACAACAGGCAACATATCATGCTACAAACATCAGGCAACATAACACACCACCCACAACAGGCAACATAAAGCACCACCCACAAACAGGAAGCTTAAGACACCACGCACAACATACAAAATAAAACACTATCCACAACTGGCAACATAAGGCATCACCCACAACAGGCAACATAAGACATCACCCACAACAGGCAACATAAGACATCACCCACAACAGGCAACATAAGACATCACCCACAACAGGCAACATAAGACATCACCCACAACAGGCAACACAAGACATCACCCACAACAGGCAACATAAGACATCACCCACAACAGGCAACATAAGACATCACCCACAACAGGCAACATAAGACATCACCCACAACAGGCAACATAACATGCCACCATCAACAGGCATAAAAAAGTCACCTCCCACATAAGGTATCACAACCAACCTCCCACAACAGGAATCGGCACATGTCACCTCCACAAAAGGAAGCCCCCAGTCACTACAATTAAAAAGAGAGATACTCACTACTCGAAGACCATGTAGAGCATGCCCTCAGAGGAGTACGTCTCCAGCAGCTCGACAATGTGTTCGTGTTTCAACATGTGGCAGATGGTAGCCTCACGCTTCAGATCTGGAAAAAAATAAAAGAAAATAAGACAAAGTGAACAAATTTAAACTTTAAAATATCACTGTCAGTGTTACAGAATATTCAGGAATTCCTAGATATCATCGAGGATCGTAATTCAAGAGCAGAATGGTATAAGAGTAATGTCAAAATATATGAGATTCGCTGAAGATTTTATCGAGGAAGATATGATTCAATGAAAGCTTGCAGACGCAACTGGTTAAGGCCATGGGTGCGAAATGTTCCAGCAACACATATAGCCACAAGAAATGCGCCCAAAATTTCAAGAATAAAAGAATATAAAGATCTCAAAAAAAACCATAAATGACTACAAACAACGATTCATAACATACATATATTAAAACACATTCACACGTTAGTGGGAACATGCATATACTCATAAAATATTGTTCAAATACTAAATAATATTATAACAATTGAATTTTTTTCCTTGCAACGTTCTCGGGTTTTGCAAAATGGTCAGTTGAGAAGTGGCATTAAATTTCCTTCCAATGTGATCATGACAGCCAAACGTTATTTCTACACAGAACTGCAATTATTCTGACGGCAGCTAACATATGTTAACTGCAGAATTTGTATGCATAAAGATCTGAGAGAACCAGCTGCACACGCAAGTTCTAAGAGAACCAACTGAATACAGGTCTCAGAACCAACTGAATGCGGAAGGTCTCAGAACCAACTGAACGCGAAAGGGCCCAGAACCAACTAAATACAGAAGTCTCAGAACCAACTGAACGCGAAAGGGCTCAGAACCAACTGAATACAGAAGGTCTCAGAACCAACTGAATACAGAAGGTCTCAGAACCAGCTGAATACAGAAGGTCTCAGAACCAACTGAATACAGTAGGTCTCAGAACCAACTGAACGCGAAAGGGCTCAGAACCAACTGAATACAGAAGGTCTCAGAACCAGCTGAATTCAGAAGGTCTCAGAACCAGCTGAACGCGAAAGGGCTCAGAACCAGCTGAATACAGAAGGTCTCAGAACCAACTGAATACAGTAGGTCTCAGAACCAACTGAACGCGAAAGGGCTCAGAACCAACTGAATACAGAAGGTCTCAGAACCAGCTGAATTCAGAAGGTCTCAGAACCAGCTGAATACAGAAGGTCTCAGAATCAGCTGAATACAGAAGGTCTCAGAACCAGCTGAATACAGAAGGTCTCAGAACCAACTGAATACAGAAGATCTCAGAACCAACTGAATACAGAAGGTCTCAGAACCAACTGAATACAGAAGGTCTCAGAACCAGCTGAATACAGAAGGTCTCAGAACCAGCTGAATACAGAAGGTCTCAGAACTAACTGAATACAGAAGGTCTCAGAACCAACTGAATACAGAAGGTCTCAGAATCAGCTGAATACAGAAGGTCTCAGAACCAGCTGAATACAGAAGGTCTCAGAACTAACTGAATACAGAAGGTCTCAGAATCAGCTGAATACAGAAGGTCTCAGAATCAGCTGAATACAGAAGGTCTCAGAATCAGCTGAATACAGAAGGTCTCAGAACCAGCTGAATACAGAAGGTCTCAGAAGCAGCTGAATACAGAAGGTCTCAGAACCAACTGAATACAGAAGGTCTCAGAACCAGCTGAATACAGAAGGTCTCAGAACCAGCTGAATACAGAAGGTCTCAGAACCAACTGAATACAGAAGGTCTCAGAACCAACTGAATACAGAAGGTCTCAGAACCAACTGAATACAGAACGTCTCAGAACCAGCTGAATACAGAAGGTCTCAGAACCAGCTGAATACAGAAGGTCTCAGAACCAACTGAATACAGAAGGTCTCAGAATCAGCTGAATACAGAAGGTCTCAGAACCAGCTGAATACAGAAGGTCTCAGAACCAGCTGAATACAGAAGGTCTCAGAACCAGCTGAATACAGAAGGTCTCAGAACCAACTGAATACAGAAGGTCTCAGAACCAGCTGAATACAGAAGGTCTCAGAACCAACTGAATACAGAAGGTCTCAGAACCAGCTGAATACAGAAGGTCTCAGAACCAGCTGAATACAGAAGGTCTCAGAACCAGCTGAATACAGAAGGTCTCAGAACCAGCTGAATACAGAAGGTCTCAGAACCAGCTGAATACAGAAGGTCTCAGAACCAACTGAACGTGGAAGGTCTCAGAAAATCTGATGCAGGTGGAAAATTTAGTTGGGAATTTTATAATTTTATAGCCAGCAATTTATTACAATCTTTAGTAAAGCCATGAAGTTTACTGTGTTTCCTGTAGCTGGGAAGTTTACTTTGTTTCCTGTAGCTGGGAAGTTTACTTTGCTTCCTGTAGCTGGGAAGTTTACTTTGTTTCCTGTAGCTGGGAAGTTTACTTTGTTTCCTGTAGCTGGGAAGTTTACTTTGTTTCCTGTAGCTGGGAAGTTTACTTTGTTTCCTGTAGCTGGGAAGTTTACTTTGCTTCCTGTAGCTGGGAAGTTTACTTTGTTTCCTGTAGCTGGGAAGTTTACTTTGTTTCCTGTAGCTGGGAAGTTTACTTTGTTTCCTGTAGCTGGGAAGTTTACTTTGTTTCCTGTAGCTGGGAAGTTTACTGTGTTTCCTGTAGCTGGGAAGTTTACTGTTTCCTGTAGCTGACAAGTTTACTGTGTTTCCTGTAGCTGGAAAGTTTACATTGTTTCCTGCAGCTGACAAGTTTACAGTGTTTCCTGCAGCTGACAAGTTTACTGTGTTTCCTGTAGCTGACAAGTTTACAGTGTTTCCTGTAGCTGACAAGTTTACTGTGTTTCCTGTAGCTGACAAGTTTACAGTGTTTCCTGTAGCTGACAAGTTTACAGTGTTTCCTGTAGCTGACAAGTTTACAGTGTTTCCTGTAGCTGACAAGTTTACAGTGTTTCCTGTAGCTGACAAGTTTACAGTGTTTCCTGTAGCTGACAAGTTTACAGTGTTTCCTGCAGCTGACAAGTTTACAGTGTTTCCTGTAGCTGGGAAGTTCACGACACACTACCAATAAACAAACAAAAGCGATACACTTGAAACAGTCAAGGAAATACACTCTGGATACTCTCATGTCATCAAATAACTAAAAATTCTTTTCAAACCTCCGGTGCAATCCAATACGCTTGCCTTTCTAAAGAATCAACTTCAATACTTTCTTTTTTGATGAAATGCTTGAAATATCGACGAGGACGACTATGAGGAGTCTCTTGTTCAGACTCCTCAATAACCAAAGACAATCTTGAAATATAAACAGAGCTTCAATCGTGTCTCAAATCATCCTCTCTATTTATTGCTTCTTCCTTCTTCTTTTGAGTTTCGTTACTGCTCCCTCTCTTGACCGTCAATCCTCTCTTCCTCTCTAGTGTTTCCATCCTGTCTCCCTCCCTAGTGTTTCCATCCTGTCTCCCTCACTAGTGTTTCCATCCTGTCTCCCTCTCTAGTGTTTCCATCCTGTCTCCCTCTCTAGTGTTTCCATCCTGTCACCCTCCCTAGTGTTTCCATCCTGTCTCCCTCACTAGTGTTTCCATCCTGTCTTCCTCACTAGTGTTTCCATCCTGTCTCCCTCACTAGTGTTTCCATCCTGTCTTCCTCTCTAGTGTTTCCATCCTGTCTCCCTCACTAGTGTTTCCATCCTGTCTCCCTCTCTAGTGTTTCCATCCTGTCTCCCTCACTAGTGTTTCCATCCTGTCTCCCTCACCAGTGTTTCCATCCTGTCTCCCTCACTTGTGTTTCCATCATGTCTCCCTCACTAGTGTTTCCATCCTGTCACCCTCACTAGTGTTTCCATCCTGTCTCCCTCTCTAGTGTTTCTATCCTCTCTCCCTCTCTATTTAGCAGAATTATTTGTAAACTATTCAGATGAAAGTGCGGCGGCTGGCTGTCATTACTCACCATCCAACTGTTCACAAACACACAACAAGGATATGTCAAGCCCGTTTGGTTTATTTCTCTGCTGATACCAGTGAATATTCCAAGTGGATAACTTTGTTTGACTACTGGTTTGAGGCCATTACAATTTCTACTACATCGCGACAAATATGTGTCAGTAACAGAGAATTGTAAATAGAATTTCCAAGCTAAGTACAGCAACAATAATGCTTTAATATATATATATATATATATATATATATATATATATATATATATATATATATATATATATATATATACAGCAACATCACAATTCGTAGCATCGGAGTATACTAAGGTACGGCCCTCCCTGACTAGGGTATCCAACACTAAGGTACTGGGTGAACCCCGACTTGTTGGCAAGATAACTCTGTGTGGAGCCATCTATCCCTGGCCCTAGAGTAAGATATCCCCCTGTAAGGCACCGGGTGATACCTGCTTGATAACTGCTTAATGGGGGTTCTTGGAGTTCTTCTACTCCCTAAGCCCCTCCTGAGGCCAGGCTTGACTTGTTAAGAGTTTGGTCCACCAGGCTGTTGCTTGGAGCGGCCCGCAGGACCACATATCCACCGCAGCTCGATTAGTCCGGCACTTCTTGAAGAAAACTATCCAGTTTCCTCTTGAAGATGTCCACGGTTGTTCCGGCAATATTTCTTATGCTCGCTGGGAGGACGTTGAACAACCGCAGACCTCTGATGTTTATACAGTGTTCTCTGATTGTGCCTACGGCACCCCTGCTCTTCATTGGTTCTATTCTACATTTTCTTCCATATCGTTCAATCCAGTACGTTGTTATTTTACTGAGTAGATTTGGGACCTGGCCCTCCAGTATCTTCCACGTACATATTATTTAGTATCTCTCTCGTCCCATGACTCATGGGGTGGCCCATGACTCGTGGTTAAGATAACTCTGTAAAGTGCCAGCTCTCCCTGCCTCATGTTAGGTGCAGGTGAGGCGCTTTTGGTGAAACTTGTCTCAAGTCAGCCGTAAGCCTGGCACTAACAGCACGTAAAAGGTGAGTTATAACCCGGACGTGGTGTGGGCCAACTTGAAGGGCCAAGAGGGTCGGGCCCCTAGTCCAGGTGAGACGAGGATGTGTGAAATGTACCGAGTGGAGACACTTTA